TCCTGAGGGGTCAAGTATTGAGGTTGGTGCTGTTTAACATCTCTGTCAGTGACATGGACAGTGGGATCGAGTGCACCCTCAGCAAGTTTGCAGATGACACCAAGTTGTGTGGTGTTGTGGACACGCTGGAGGGAAGGGATGCCATCCAGAGAGACCTTGACAGGCTGGAGAGGTGGGCCTGTGAGAAGCTCATAAAGTTCAACAAGGCCAAGTGCAAGGTCCTGCATGTGGGTCGGGGCAATCCCAAGCACAAGTACAGGCTGGGCGGAGAATGGATTGAGAGCAGCCCAGAGGAAAAGGACTTGGAAGTGCTGGTGGATGAGAAGCTCAACATGAGCCAGCACTGTGCGCTGGCAGCCCAGAAAGCCAACCGTGTCCTGGGCTGCATCCAAAGCAGCGTGGGCAGCAGGTCCAGGGAGGGGATTCTGCCCCTCTGCTCAGGGACTTTACACTGAAAGAGGGAAGATTTTGATTAGATCTAAGGAAGAAATTCTTCCCTCTGAGGGTGGTGAGGCACTGTACAGGTTGTCCAGAGAAGTTGTGGCTGCCCCATCCCTGGCAGTGTTCAAGGCCAGGTTGGATGAGGCTTTGGGCAACCTGGTGTAGTGGAGGGTGTCCCTGCCCATGGCAGGGGGGTTGGAACTAAATGATCGTTAAGGTCGTTTCCAACCCAAACCAATCTATGATTGTGTGATAAACCCTGTCTGATAATCTTGTGCTCACAGAAAACTAGGAGCTCCAACTGCCACATGCTAGAGGCTCTACTATTCCCCTCAGGGCAGTAATCACACAACCTACGTTTAAGGAGGATAAAACACTGCCATATGCAGTGATTTTTTACATTCTATATTACAAGTACTGTAATAATTACATTTCAAATATTTTTGCTTTGCATTCAGCTAGCGAGCCTGGCCCAAGTTACAACAACGTATCTTACCACAAAAACTTTGGTTATACATAGCTAGAAGTATAACATCAAGAGTACAAGAAGCCATTACCTATCAAATGAATTTTTTTTCCGCTCATCAGCCTGGAAGAGACAAATGAGTTTACTCTTGCAGACTACCAGGACCACTTGCAAAATCAACCGCAGTATCTTGAACACAAAGGCAAACACTGTCCAGAGAGTTCTTTTGAGAATGCCACTGTCACTCCAACTTTCATGTTTAACTTGGGTTAAGATTAGATTTAGATTCCTCTTTAGATTTAGTTTTCAGATTCAGATTGTCTCCAGAAATCAGAGGCAACTGAGAGATCAAAAGCAGCTAGTCTGTTTACTCAGACCAGCTGTCATTGTTTGTCACTTCCTTTCTCGACATGTAGCAAAAAATTTAGAGCATAATCCAACTGATCAGTGTGTTCCCTTGTAGAAATTAAGAATGCATACTTAGCACAGAGCCTCAAGGCAAGGGGAGAAAAATGTGTTCACTGGTCATCTATTATGAATTCTTAGTAGCCACAGGGGTTTGTCAAAACGTAACAGGGAGAAGGTTTGAATGTACATTGGAAATATTAGCAGGAAAGAGGTTATATGAAAATAAAGCAACGCAGTGTGAGGTTTGAGATGGAATTTAAGGTGTGGTAAGCTTGCAACTGATCTCTTACATTTTACAGTCTAGGGCTGACGTCAAGCAAAGAGCAGCCTGCAATACTTTGCTGTTACTGTACTTTGACGCCCCATCTCATCCTGCACAACACTTGCAGCTACCAGGACTCCTTCCCTCCTCTACTAACACTGGCAAGCAGCACACTGAAATGAGTGCCCAGTACTTATGACATCGGGAATGACAAAACTAACGCACTGAGGCCTCGCTTGCTCTCCGTGATGTGTCAGCAGACAGCTATGAAGTTGGTAGGCAAGTACCAGATCTCTTAAAAGACTTGCAGTTCACTGTATCCATACAAAATGCCTGTCAATACTCACAGAGATACGGGAGCCAGCTCTCGCCCTCGCTACAGTCTCTTTTTCCTTCTCTGACACTCGCCTCTGTATCGCCTGGAAGTTATTTAAGGCCGCGGAGAAGTCATTCATTAAACGTTCTTTCTGAAGCCTCTGTTGGCGCTAGAGAATTGAAACAAAACCAAGTGTTCAGATATTCCCACTCACGATAACGTAACTGTCAGACTCAAAAAAATCATCATCATCATCATAACAACAGTTATGAATGCTGGCATTGAAGCGATCTTTTGGTTCCAGCATCCTGGGGCACCAGAGAGAACAAAAAGCACATCACATTTTAATTTGGCATACCAAGTGCTCTACACCATGCCTACTGCAGAATGGTTTTGTGCAGTAAAGTTCTCTCATTTCAATCTAGTTTTAAATCTTAAATCCAGTTTTAAGTAGAGAGGTCTTCCATACCATTACTTTTATTCAAATTACATTCCAACAATCTATGACATTTAATTACATGCCTTCTGGATACCTACAACGCCTTTACCCTCCATCCCTCTACTTAGCCAGCCTGATCGTACTTAATCCTTCCCTTGTTCTGATAAGATAACCCCTTTAACTTACTTACAAATACAGGAAGTCCATATTTCCAGAACCAGTGACAACAGCCATTACCCCAGTATCATAAGCTGTCTCTCCCAGCTATGCCACACTACAAGCCTGCTGCTATTTGATCAGAGAATACCCTTAGTCCTGATAACCACTGCAGTTTATCTTTTCTCCAAATACATTAATTGTAATATTTCTTCTCATTCTCATTTTACAGTATCGACTTATTTAGCCTCCACAGAACCTCTCCTTCGAGTGTTGTGACATCCCAGTTACAGGAAACAAGGAGCGGTGAAAGAGCTTGTCCCAAGGACACTTAACACTGTGGTGAGTTCTTATGTTTTCCATTAGAGAGATTCCCAACAGCAGTTTCCAATTGCAGCTTTCCAGTATGGTAATCCTTCAATGAGTTTGTATCAATTCAAAAGTCATTTCAAGGAAATAAGTGTTTTCAATTATTTTTTTCTACACTAAGCCACAACACAGCCTCATAATACACCACAGCTTCCATCCGAGCCGTCGGGAAGCAACCACCCTTCTGCCAGAGGAGATCCTCAGCGTGTTGATGCCAGCTCCTGCAGATTTTGGCTGGGCTGCTCCAACAGGCTTCACAAGTCACTGCTGCATTCAGTGAGATGCTCATGACAGGATTTTGCTCACCAGAGGGAGATTTACTGAAAAATATTTACTGAACAAAGAGGCAAAACGTGGCCATTAATATGCCAACAGGCATACAAACCTTTAAATACGGAATGAGACTAGGACATCATCTGCTGACCCATATCCACAGGTCATCCCACCACAGCATCACAAAAGCAGGTACCAGTATTGTGGTAGTGATTTAGAGTAGAGCAAGAAAACATCAAGAGCAGAAGACTGCCCCTTCCCTTTCGTGTAGGCAGGGGGAACTCAAAGGACTATTTGGCAAGAGATAAAGTCCTAATCGTTGCCTCACTGTATTTTGCTTTGTTCACATATGAGCAAGGTGAGTCAGCTTTTGCCCCACTGCTAATAAATCACTGCACGGGAAAGTGTTTTGGCATGATCACATTTCATATTGGCACGCAGTCTGCTATGAGTTCTCATCCTAAAACACTGCCTCGCATCACCACTTTGTAAACATGATTATTTTTCAGAAATTTACTCAGAAAAACAGAATTGCATAGTCAGCTCTCCCCAGACATTTAAGGTTTCCTATTCTTGTGCAAGTAAGTTTTATACCTATTTGCCACTGGGAAACACTGTTTTCCCAGTGTCATATAAGCAGATAGGATGTAGCCAGTTTGATGTGTTTCCCTGCTTCAACATTCTTTGCTGTGAAAGGCTGCTGTCTCTTCAGCTGTGCTAATTCAGCCTTTGTGAGGTTGTGGTCTAAGCTAGTTTCACAAAATGAGGATTTAAAAAGAAGTCCAGACAAATTCCGTGTGCCTACCTGTTCAGAAGCAGACAGAGGAAGCGGTAGAGACCCCAACTCCTTCAGATATTCGTTGGTCTCTTTGGCAAGGCGGTTTGCAGAATGCTGCAGCTGTTGTCTGAAATCAAAGTTCAAAAGCAGTTACACAAGCTTCTACCTAAAAAGCAGTCTCCAAGCATTTCGGTTTCCAAAATAATGATCAAGTAGGGTTTCTGAGATCACACATCTTTATGGTGGGGGTTTTCACCCTAATGGAACAGAGATGTACTTTTAGTTTTGACCATCAGCCTGACTCTGGACTACATTTCAAAAGAAGATTCAAAGAAGTTCTGTGCTCCCTGCTAACTAGTATAATTCAGTAGTTTTAAAAAGATATTTTTCTCCCAGAAAAGATATTTTTCTGCCCAGAGAAGATGTAGATGCCCCATCCCTGGAAGTGTTCAAGGCCAGGTTGGATGAGGCTTTGAACAACCTGGTGTAGTGGAGAGTTTCCCTGCCCATGGCAGGGGGGTTGGAATTGGATGATCTTTGAGGTCCCTTCCAACCCAAAGGTTGATTCTATGATTTCAATGGCATAATGGAGAGAAATTTAAGGGAGAGACAACTTCATTCAGTGAACACAATCACTCTTTTAGAGTGAATTCCTTGTGGTATCAATTGGTAATTAACTGTTCATTTGACAACTGCCAACTCCATGGATTAAATGTACATTTGATAAAAGTACAGAGACTCAGAGATATTAAATTCTTACATTTTTGTGAAAATTAATGGTCAGAGAGAGGAATGATCCAGCTTCCACTTTGGGAAATGCAAGGTTTTCACTTGAGCCTTTAAGTTTTCCAATAATGTTGCAATTCAAAGCTATGGTTGCAAAGGATCTAGTGCAGCAGCACCTTCATTAGCACCACAATACAGAAAGTCAGCAGTTAAATTGAACTTAATGTAAAGACATCATCTTGTGTAGCAAAGATGCAGTTGATTAGAAAGAATGCTGCTAGTGCTGCACAGAGAACAGAACTGCCAGTTTTATTTGGCAGCCAAATGCACAAAAACTCATAGTATAAACCAGGAAGATACAAAACACTAAAACAAGAACAAATTTTTTGGCATTCAATGGATACAAGGTGCTTAAGTGAAAGTCACCTATTCAGCCCCATAGTTACACAAATCAAAATGTTCAGGCTGCATTATTGTATCAGTTGACCTGCAATATGTGAACTGAATAAACCACCCACGCACTTTTGTATTACATTTGTATGGCAGCTGACAATTTGTGGAGTGCAACCACTCTCACCTTCAAGAGTAGGGCCATTTCCACAATGAAATTAACTGGCAAGACATTCCTTTGGTCACCAGCGATCAGCACTTTAATCTACTGATTAAATACAGATTGAGTCAACTGAGCAGCTCAGGCAAATTCCTTTCTCTCCCTCCTGGGCTCTGGTCTCATCCTTCCAACGCAGCGTATGCAGCTATCGCCACAAGTTATGACCTTATCCAAATATCAGCCATCACAAAAGATGGGGAAGTTGCATATTCGGAGATTCAAGGTACACTCACGTGAAGAGATAACGGAAGAACCTACTTCCAAAGTTTTTTTATGACTCCAGAAATTATTCTTCTCACAACTTGCTATTTATGCTTTACAAGTTCGTCAGAGATGCACAGACTCCCTGTTCACTCTTTCCAGCAGTCAGTTTGGACTACGTCTGTTTAAATGTCTCCTACAGTGTTCCCCACTGGCATATTATTCTTCTTAAATTACATGTGTCACTTTGGCTGCCATATAGAACTGCTAATCTTTCTAGTGCCTCAATCCATCTGCGCTACAAGCTACTTTTTCATCAGTTATGGGTCTTCCTTGCTGTTTTGCCTTATTGCTCTTATGTCAGGAATTTCTTCTAAACACAAGTGAAGCTACTACGGCCAGCCCTCAGACTACAGCTAATGCTTGGCCGATGTACTACTACTCTTTTTAAATAAACTATACTGTTTCTAACCATTCCTACCCAGCAGCTTTGAATGGCTTCTCCACAGTCCTCCAGAAACACCTTAATTTGTTCAGTAAACTACTTAACACAGCTAGTCATTTTTTGTTTGTAAGACTATATTAAATTTACCTAATAAAGCATCTCCCCAAAGCAAGTAACCCAGTTCCTCTAAGAATAGAGACAGAAGCGAAGGAGAACCTATGCAAACATTAGCTCATTTAATACTTACAAGTTCTCCTGAAGCTTGCTGGAATCCTGCTTGGTTCCTAGCTGGCTCATCAAATTCTTTATTTGAGCAGCTGAAGATAAAGAGATCACAAGATGAGTTACTAAGACAAGTTCTAGTGTATTTTATTCCTTCTTGAATGTAGTCTTCTAGCTTTTCCCAAAGGATTTCTCTCAATATTCGACTTAACTCAAGCTGGTAAGACACTTACACTTTGCGTTTAAAGCAAAGGATGTATTTCCAACATCCCCATTTAGACAAGATCCAGCCTAACAGACTAACTTCCAGATAAGAGAGCAAGAGTGAGGCACACATACCCTGAAGACAAGTCTGTGCAGCTAAAAGCTTGTGCACTCCTCTTTCTCAAGCTTTTTCAGACCAACTACCATTTGTTTCTACCAGCCTTGCTATTTCTGCATTTTAGGCTATCACTGCTGCAGAACAACTCTACTACGCTGTTTTGCCACTTTGACATATTCTAAAAGTACTTACATTATTAGTGCTCTGTTAAAAAAAAAAAAAAAAGAACAAGAAAAAGCCAAGGGTTGCTATCAGTTAAAGATTATTAATTTTTCTACTCATGATAGCCCAGACCTCTCACAGTACTGGCACAAACAATCTTTCAAGAACAGCAGATAGCAAAGGCACACTTCGTGGTTAGCTTGCAACAATCTGAAATCATACTGTATCAAGAAGAGATATTCCAGGTCTCTTTCTCCCTTATTTTCCTTGTGTAGGCACTAGTGATCACAACCACACAATGAATCACACCAAACCGTCAACCTACCTGAAAAGTAAGTACCATCTTCTCTCCCCACTCCCTCTACCTTAGAAGATTTTTTTTTTTTTTTTTGGCAGACCAGCAAGCTGATGCACTTTATTCTGCATCTGCATAATTTTTAGCATTACTAAATCTTTAGTATCTTTTTTAAAAACTTTTTAAATTTTTTTAAAATCTTTTTTAATGCTGGGTGCACCACTTAAGACAGCAGCACAATGTTTGATTGGCTCAAATCAATCACGAAATCGTGTGCTATCTGAAGAGGCAAGACCACGGAGAATCAACTTCATATAGTTCTAGAGGCAGCTGAATTGAGCTGAAATATCCAATGAGTTTAACAAGAGCTACTTTCCAATTCAGCGACACCCTACTGGTGTAATTTCTGCTCTCAGCCCAGAACAAGCCACTTCAGTTGATTAAATGTGTTGCTAAAGGAACATCAAATTCCTACAAAGGCCACTTATTTTAAACTGATGTCCAATGGCTTATAACAACTGCAGCTCAACTAAGGCTGCAATATGATTTAATCAGTCATTGGGCAAGTATTCCAGCTTCTGAATCCAGCGAGAGTATTCTTGCTGGGAATTCCAGACTTCTCTAATTCTAGACTGCTCATACAGCGAGGAGTTGTTCAGCAACTCATACACTGAGATTAACACGCCTTCTAGGAAGCAAGGCTGCACTTATTTCACAGCTTTGTCAGCCACAGGAAGGTCAGAAAAGTTCATGGTCAAGTTAAATTGGCGAATGGCACATGGACTATCCTCTATGTGTGGATACCAAGGACTTAGCAAACGGCTAAAATGTCTAGATGCTCTGGGATGTATATTTTTTTTTTCTCCATTGGCAGAGAATCTTGCACAAGCCCCGTTCCCACTCCAGGTAATGTGCTTTTTGTCCTGGTCTGAGCCAGGTTCAGCACAGCAAACTGCTCAGTTTATGTCAGCCAACAGCAATGCACAGAGTGCACACAAAATGAGAGAAAACAAAGGAAGGTGCGGGAACTCTTTCCCTTTATTCTTTGGATAGCAGGTATACATACCAACCTAGAGAGCTCCCTCAGCCTTTCAGTCTCCAAGCCCTTTCAATTTTAGGTTGTAAAGCCTTCCACATACTGACTATTTTACACTTAAGATTACTTAATAAATCTCTGCTCTAGATGCTTAGGTAATGTGACAGTCTTGCAAGCAACAGTTTTGCCAGCTCAGGTCATCAGTTTTCTGTACATCTTGTGTGAAATGCTAACTCTACAGAGTTTCCCAAAGGGAATGAATAGTAGTCAGCTGTGTCCACTGTTTGCTTGCTGTTTTCCCTGTAGGGAGTAAAAGGGGAAATGAGGACAGGCTTAAGGCTTCAATGGAAAGCTTTTATAAAATGTGTAATAAAGTTAATTACCATAACGTTAAGTCAGATGCTCTGTGTGTTCCCATCCACCTTGATAAAAACTGTGAGGGATTTGTTTCATTTGAGATAGGATGGCTGCTGGTCATGAGACAGTGGGAGCACATCCTGTGAGAAGGAGAAGCTGAACTACTCACAAGGGGAGGCTCACAGGGAGAAGTCTCATGGAAGGGAAGGGGGGGTGTAAAGAGGAAAAAAAAAAAAAACAAAGAGAAAAGGGAAAAGCCCCAGATAACCTGTGCTATTTGGTGAACTTGGAAGCAATGCAACTAGCAGCCACGCCTATACCATGAGGAAGTGAACATGACTGAGCAAAAAGCACAGCAGTTTCAGCAATATTAGCAGTTTTGTACGATCGAATTGGAGAAGCCTTCAACTTTCAGAGGAACCAACGTGTTCATCCGACCGTGCCCTAGAAGATTGCTGGGTACTTGGACAGTTAACGCCTCTTTTGGCAAAGGCAGTATCCTTAGGAAGGGGTTATGTCAAGGAGTCTCTCAGACACGACTCATTTAGGACGCAGCATTTCAGCGATCAACACCAGGATTCCAACGATGAGCTTACGACACGGACAGCCTTCTCCAACGACAGCCGCACGCCAAGGACCCGCCACGCCATTTACTTAACGCCAATCTGCTGGGCTCGGCCGGCCCGTTCGGGAGCAAACGGGCAAGTTACCACCAGCCTTCGGCAAGCCCAGTGCCAGCGGCTGCTGCCAGGCGCCCCGCGCGAGGCGGGGTGACCCCCTCTGACCCCGTCCCGCC